GGCATTGCTGTAAACTATGTCAATGACATATAATTCTTATCTTCTATAATGTGCAGCGTTACAGCACTGCAGAAATGAGACATAAAGCTGATCACTCTGTGACTCTCAGATTACATTTTGTTCCTCTGTGTACAGTATCTGGAGTAGCTGTACATCAAGCTACATGCATATTTTTTCTAAATACACTTCACTAATTCAAGTGGAACAGTTTAAATACTGAACAGCATTCACCAAATACCAAACACTAAATGTCTAAACTTTTAATGATCACTTTAGGTTTATTGGGAGTCAACGAGCAAAAGTCAACTACAATTTGCAACCCAGCATTAACTGCAAGACAGAAAACACCAGCAGCATCTGAAAATAAGGAACTGCAATACAGTATGTGCTGATTTGGGGAAATGGGCTCTAGATATTTATAGTAAAGAGAATGATTAACAACAAGAAATGAAGCTGGAATGTTTCAGAATTTAGTATACTGCAAAAAAAAAGCAACTCAGTGAACTGACCATTCACAAAAGGCCTGAAAATAAAACAAACAAAAGGGGTTTAATGTTAAAAGTTCAATATCTAATCTCAAAAAGCAGAAACAGGTTAGATAGGAAAGGCAGTGACATTGACAAAAAACATAACATGCGTCACCAAAACTGATCAAAACAATATGACTAAAGATGATTATCATAAAAGAAAAACAAGAGGCAAAAACTCTTTCGACATCCAAAAACAAACAAATTCTAGGTTTTCCAAATAATGTCAATAACCCATTGAATTCCAAAGATGCCTGAAGGCAAAACCACCTGCATACAACACTGATGAGCTGGAAAAGAGTGACTTTAGGAACACTAAGAAATTTCCTGTCTTAAATCAAATATATACCCTGAGACAATAGTAAACAGTCAGTGTTAAGGTTAATCTATACATGTTTTGTTAAAGTTAGTCTGTACCCATTTTTCCCCCAGTCAGAACCATCTGCAATATTCTTTGCTTCTTTAAAAACTCCAATTCCTATTCCATCATTTTAACAACACTGACCATCACTGAACATCTGGATAAGATACAGTACTTAAATCAAACTATTTCAGTAGCTCAAACTTAGGAGTAACTTTCAAATTGTTTGAAACTGATGTTCTGATTACCTGAAAGTTTTCAATTAGGTTTAGGTTGCAATAGCTTTTCAATTGAAATTATAAGTCAAAACTGTGTCAGGTTGTTTGAAAAAAGCATTTTCACTTCCAGGTATTAAGTCTGACAAACTATAAATTGGGAAACCTGAAAAATTAACTTTAAAATAGAGCACAATTTTAAAAATGAATGTAGAATTTATTGTAGAATGTAGAATGTTAAAAGATTTTTTTAACTTCAAGTGGTATTTTGCACACTGTTTTAATATTATTTTTTTATTTAGTCCAAATAAATAAAGCAAACATTTAGTAATAAAAAAGATGAAAAGACTGAACTATGTATGTAAATTGTTTCTCGTCATCTGCATTCTGCAAAAGACAACCGATTGCTCCTAATGCAAGAATACAAATACTACAGTATAACAGTACAGACCTCTTTCTCAATTATGCAATAAAATAATTAGATTAACTTTCATCAAAGCACAAAATGCAACCTTCTATGAAATTTGTTAGCTGGAAAGTTGAAAAATAGTAACACAATCAAAAATGGCAAATTAACCCTACTGCGACACTTAGGAGAAAATGATATCTGGGCATGTTTTTGAGGGGTTATCAAGTAGCTTTTATAATCATGCTGCGTATTGCTATGCACTATCTGAATAAACTCTAAACTCTAAACAAGACACAACAAAACATTCACATGCACCTAATGCAGACCATGGGTGCAAGGTTCCTCAGGTTTCTCATTTCATACTATTTTGTATTAAGGGTGACATGATAATATAGAGAGATTTTAATTTTCCACAATTTAATTGAGATATTGCAATTAGGAATACCAATGCTGAAATTGATATTGCTCATCAGAATCACTTTACTTGCACAAGGTGTAGTAGGTGGTGAGTTACTGTAGGTGCAAAAACATAGAAACAACTGATTATACATATACACTTTACTGAATGAACATGCACAGGTTCACAGTTATATGCACACTACAACACGTATTCTAGTGTTCTGGTTAAGAAGCTATCCAGATGCCAGGAGGCTTTGGTTTTGAATGCCTGGTAGTTTTGGTTTTGAGTTTGTTTTTTTCTTTGGGGGGGAGGGGTTAAATGATCTTAACCCAGTTTGTTAGGGCAACAACTAGAAAATACTAAGAAAGACACAGTTTTTTGACCTAGTGGTTTCAAATAACCAAGGTGGAATCAAGAGAGTATCTGCGGAGATTAAATTGCTAAAGGTGGAGCGGAGAAGGCGAGCTTTTCTTAAAAAAATGTTATAAGCTCAAAACAAATTAACTTTAAATGAGATCTGTCCAAGTTGGTGGGTAAAAGAAGAGACTGAGAAGCAAATCAGAAGGAAGAGAGTTTGCGACAGAATTTGCAAAAAGACCCCAAATTCAAACAAAAAAAAGACTGCATTGAGCTGCAACACAGCTACTGAGAAAGGATATTTCAGCAACAAATAAGACAAACCAGTTTTCTACATTAAGAAAACTTGATAAGTTGAAGTATTTAGTCTACAACATGGGATTAATAACTGAAGAAAAAAAAATGGAAGACATGCTAAATTAACATTTTTGCAGGTTTTTACAATATCTGATATCAATAACATGTCCCTTGATATAGGAGTAGCTCCATCAGTATTGGGCATTTGTAGCATAATTGATACCAGGTATGTACAGGAGCTAAGGTATCATAAAGGTAACAAATTGCATTTGCTTAGCTGTATGTAAGGAAAAAAAGGAATGTTATTCATAGATCCTTAAGGCCAACTTTTCAACACTCAATCCAGATGGGAGTGGCACCAATAGACTGGAGAATTGCAACTGTTTACAAAGAGGGGCACAAAAACAAACCAATAAACTAATCAAGCTGTTTCGTTTCTGTAACAGGTCCTAATGTTGTGCCACACAATGCTTAAGTATAGAGAGAAAATAAGTATTTATAACAATTAAAACACAGCTGACCTTGGTCACCATACTACATAAAAGACATGACATGGTCACAGAGGACTTCCATATACAAACATGATAAAGAACCAGCCTTTCATTTCATTCTAGTACAGAAGAGACTGACAGGTCATTTGATTCAAGTAGGTAAAATTTCAAGGACAGATTTAACCCAGAGTGCCATTTTAGTCTCAGGTAATCTAAAAAAAACTAATTTAGAATGAGTAATAGGAAGCCCTTCTGTACACAAAGGGTTGTAGGTGTATCCAACAGGTGGAGGCACAGACATCGAGAGCCTTCAAGAAAGCAGATGGATGATGTTTAATACCCTTCTAGCTAAACTAAAACCACATCACCAAAAAGAGTAAGGCTTAGGCTATAAATGAGAAAACTTTTTCTTGTGTGCTTATACTGTATATTGGCCTACAAGTTTTGCAAATTTCCATAATTATTTCATTGATTGCTTAGATTATGGAAAAATATAATGTAGCCATTGCAATCAGTGAATTGTACAAAGATGTATATAATACAATCATCTCTCCAACAAAATCTGCTAAGTGTTACTTATAAAAGTGAATTAACTAGTCTTAATGCAGTGAGATTCAGTTATTGGAGAATTTATAATCTGTGACCATCAATGCACAGAAATACAGTAGGAAATCCTACACAGTGAACATTGTTGTCAAATATCATTCATGTCTCATCTTTTTACTATAACACAAAACGATGATACTGTATGTAGCGCTCTGAAAATTAAGACATCAGTTAATTAGGGAGGTGACGTTAAATCAAATCTTTCTTACCTATTTCTGTGATAACATTCACAAATCTTTCGTAGAGAGTGGCAAACGGTTTTGTTCCAGCATTTGTCAGGAAGTACTAATACTTTCCTCTATTACTATGTGATCGTGAAAAAATGAGATTTTTTCAGGATAATGTTGATGATAAATATTTAACTATATACCGTATGTTATTTTCTGTTTGTTGTATTATTCGATGCACCAGAAACAACTCCGCAAATCAATGAAAACAGTGGAACAAAATATTAGCTTTATTAGCTTTAAAAGAAGCATCTATATTTGATTTATCGTACTACTCGCTTCGAAAAGTTGTTTTTAAAGTGTTAATGAAGTTCGAGACGGCATTATGTTAACTCAATTTTGGAAAACCTACGTTAGACCAGTAGTTCAAAGGCTCTTGAACTCGAAGACAGCCCCCGTTGCAACATGTTTAGAAGATGAAGACAAAGCTGGAAAAACTCATTTTACAATTTCAGCCGCGTACAGGTACAGGACGCCTGCTACAGGGCTTTACTGGGGACCCTTAATAAATCCCCGACTGCTTCTCCCCTCAACAAAACTGTGTCCGGGGCCAACGGAAAAACACGGCCCGCTGCCCGGGTACCCCTGGAGCATTTACTGTAAGACAGGGCTAGCAACCAGTTTTACATTTTGCAATAAGACGAGGCCTAATGGCAAACTTGAATTACGGATAGCTTCTTGTCATGTAACCCCGCTTCGACCAGCTCTTCGAGGAATTAGCTTACGATTTTAACTAAACGATTAGATCCTTCGATCTAATTATATGACAGCGATTTCAGGGATGAGAACTGAAATACATGTATATCTAAAACGAGGATTATTATGCAGAGCGCTTGTGAGCTGAATTTCCAACTTTCGTTTTCACTGTCCTCTACTTTGTGCGAAGTTTTCAACTATGTGTCAGTATATTGGGAGGAAAAAAGCCAAATGCAAAATTAAATCACCCTGCTAACAATCAAGAATAAAGGTATAACGCACTTTAATGCAAATTGTAATTCGCAACATATCTCCATTTAACGTCACATCCGATAACAAGCGCCCGACCTCAAGTCTCTAATCATGAGCTAACGTACCGATTTATTCACACTTTAAAGAAAAAGAAACACTTACAGGCTTAGGACGGAGAAAAGCAAGCCTTAAATCCTCACGAATATTTCCGTATAGAACGTTTTTAAGATCATTTTTTTCTGTCATGAGCGGTCGCACACAGACCGACAATCTTGTCTCCCAAAGAGCCACATCAGGTTAGAGGGATGAAAGCCAGCTCTCTCGCTCTGAACTCTCGGCTTTCCGCCGCGGCCTCTGATTCGCCAGCACTGCCGCCCATCAAGGGTTCCGCACGCTGCCGTGTGCGACAGTTCCCGTTACTCTCCGCCTGTTTTCCCTGAAACATCGCACATATTCATGGATTCGGGATCAGGTTTTCATTTGTCGTCCTGATTTGTGAGGGCTTTGGCGGAGAGCTGTTCTGCGAAGAGTTAAATGATTTCGCTGAAGTTTGCAAACTTCATTTAAACGGAAAATGTTCCAAAGAAAAGTAGCTGTTGATTAATTGTTCACTTGGCTATTTAAAGAAAAAAAGCGATTTGTTGCAAAACCTATTAGAAATGACTGTAACCGGAGTATGTAAAAGATGGGAGGAGGTGCAGTATGTTTTGCACAAGTCTCCCCGTGTATTCCTGTAATAGATTTTGTTAGTGTTTTTTACATTCGAAAGAACATAAAAGGTTACAAACCAGTGGAGGCCTCATCATGTTTCTTTGGTGGTACGTTTGGTACAGTACAGTAGGTACCTAGTTTAGTGACTCAGATGGAGTTTCTCCGTTTCTTGAAGCAGGGTTTGGGCGGAAACCCCCTTGCTGGAAGTCTGTTCCTGACACCCACCACCCTTTGTATAAAGTACCACTTTTTTTCTCAGTTTTTTTTCTTCTTCTGGAAATTAGTTCAGTTTTAGTTTCCTTGCCTCATTACTAACCCTGTAGCTGCACTTTAGTTGACCCTTTCTATAATCCTGAGGATTTGACTCCTTTAATGTGTCTGTATATGGCAGTCATCTGAATCCTTCATGGTTGCTCATCTTTTGATCCAGTGTGGATCACTTTGCATTAATCAATATTCCCTTTGAAACTGCCAATCCAAGATGTTGTCAAAGTCTTTTTGTAATTCCTTTAGCACAGTTTTCCCTTTGCCAATATCTCTGGTTTTGTTTTAACCAAAAGTTTAAGGTGATCTAATTGTCAAACAATTATTTGTGGAATACTCTTTTCTATTTTGTCTTTTGTCATTAAAAAAAACTTCTTATTATAAAAAAACAATACCAAATACAAAGGGTTTCTTTTAAATTAATATCAGAACAGGACATTGCGACTATACTTATATTAACCCTGTTAATGTTGCAAGTTTTATTAATAGAGTTTTCAGTTATTTAGTTTCCTAAAAATAGAAGATTCTTCATGTACAAATAATCAGGATGTGAACACTCCTACCATTGTTTAATACATTTGCTGTGTACTTTCAAGCAAACAGTTACTGTAATCCAGTTACAAATCATTCCTTTTTTTCTCACTGGACATTATTTCAAGGAATTCCACATCCACGGAGAGGAAGAGCTATTCTTGATGTTTTTCAGCTTGTAAAACACCATCAATCTTGAAATTTCAAACAAATTATTAATCTTAAAAAATCAAACTACCAGATATGGAAACACTATCTTTGTGTTGTTTAACACATTTTCAGAGTACCCAGACACAACTCATCTCATTACAGTCCAAGTCCTAAAGTCGTTTACAGGAGTACTTTTTAGCTTGATGACTTCTTCAGCACTTTTCTCTTATTCAATTCTCTAATGTTCTTTTTTAATACATATATGTTTGATTTATGAAGATTTGTGTCTAGAAGATCTTAAAAGTGCTTGAGTTGAGTCTGAGGTTAGAGGACTTCAGATGATGGAAGGAGTGAAAACATTGGGCCCATACGATTCATGTTAGAGAAAACCTGTGATAAGCAACACTTGCCACAGTGAAAAGCACACCATCCATCCATTTTCTAAGTGCTTTTTCCAATTCAGGGTCATGGGCTGAGGTGGACCCCATCTTGATGTAGTGGAGCTAGTGTGGTGACGTCAGCGCCCTCACTGTGCGTATCAGGGTCCACAGCTACCTGGGCTGAGGGAGGTCTCCTTTAGTTCACGCGGTTGGTGCCCTGTTGCATTATGCCGGAGACCCGGGTTTCGCGCTCCAGGTGTGGCGACCGGAACGGGCGGCGGGGGGCATGACCCCGCGCGGAACCGTGACTGTCACATAGACAATCAACAGGTGCAAGACAGGATAATTTAAGATAAACATGGGATTCAAACCCAGGTCACTGGGTTGGAGATGTACTGTATAATAGTGGTGTAGCTGTTTTAGCTATACTTCCGGCTAAAAAAGAACACAACATTGTTTTTTATCCGTCTGCTTCAAATTGCATGTGATTATAAATGTTTGACAGAACGCCTGACTGCAGTGAATGTTTCTGGTCTGGACAATCATTGAGTTCACATACACTCTGGCAGCAATGTAAGATATAATATAGATAACCCATGAAGAATCGAAAATTGTTGTCTGTGGGATCAATAGGACAATTTTTAAAGCTTCTTGCTCTGCTGCAAAAGTTATTCTCCATTTAAAAAAAAATTCAACAATGTAATCACAATTTCTCAAACTGATAGACAAAGGTATCCGGTATCTTTACTTTTACATACAGTATGTTAGTCATCTCTTTATAAATTTGTACTTAACAGTGTGGTTTACAATTTAACATTTAGAAAACTGACTGAACAGTTTTTGAAATCAGTAGTTATTTTACATTGTTCAATGGAGTTCATTGGAGTGCTGTCAAGTTGAAGTGTGAAATCGCAACACAAGCCTCACCTTGTGCTTATCTGTGAATTGCACATATGTGTAAGAAAATTGTCTAACACTGTTCTTTGGAGGGAGTGGTGACAGAAGGTGTTATATTAATGTGGAAACATTTGTACAATGGTCTATGAGTGACACAAGTCTTATTTTAATCGCTTGCACGCAATAAAAAAAGGGACGAGCTTGTCTCCACATGCAGCAGGCCAGCCTCTGTCAATAATAATAACAACTAAAAAGTATCCCATATGAACTGACTTTATATCTTCATCTTTTTTTATTGATTGAATACTAAATTGAGAAATAAGGTACTAAATTAAGTTTATGCAGTGAAAGATCAGTCTTAGACATAATATCAACATAATATCTAATAAGGTATTAAACTGTAAGAAATTGGAGATATACAATTTGAAGCACTATCTACTGATTTAAAATGTTTAGTGTGTAGTATTCTAGGACTATTACTTTAGTTTAGAGACAGACATCTGAACTTGAGAGCCTGCTCAGAGAAAGAAATTAGAACTGTTGGAGCATGTTTGCTTTATGCTGATTGGCTGTCACACATCCACCCACACAAACACAAACTTTGGCCTCATGTTGAAGTGATTCATATTACTGGAATAGTGCTGCCTGGAAATCCCTTTGTGCAACCTTTTTTATATTGAATAACCCTGTCACCAGTTTAAAATGGGATGCAAGATGAACATATGGTTTACATTCAGTGCAGTGTATTAAAACATTAAGCAGATGAAAACTGAAGATGGTGACACTAATGTACTTCTCACGTTTAGAGAGCTGCATAATTTATTGACTCATCTGTTAAGTCACCGTTTCAATGTGGGTATTTTTGAGGTTTCTGATGTAAGCCCGATTACAATGGAACTGATAGGCTAGAGTAGGGAATCTGAGATCACACCGATAACTGCTACTTCCCAGGAAAGGAAAAATTGTTAACAAACAGCAACATTCAAGAAAGATGGACTCTTTCAATTTGTCTAAATAAGGGTTCATTCTTTTTATAAGAGATACAAATATTAAAAATAAAGAAAATACTTCAGGTATCTAACCTGAAAAATAATTGCTATAAATGCCATTGCTAAACCTAGAATGTGTAATCTCTGGATCAAAAAGTTTTTCTCTTTTATTTCCCATCCAAATGTTATTGTTTAAGATTTAATGAGTCCAAAATGAGCGAAAATATGTGCCCTACTTAAAGGATGTTAGCTTAAAATAATCATTTTTACAAATTAATTAACTGTGTTCCACTACTTTATTTAATTAATTGTTAGTAATATTATATTAATTGAAGCTGATATAAAAGCAAAAACATTTTTTGGAAGAAGGTGTAGTGATTTATTATTCTCACTATCAATATTGCATTTACAATATGAATGTGCTCATGAACATGTTTAGAAAGCATCAGTATAATATGCACTCAGGTTCCAGAGACCATTAGTTTGGAATTAACGGTCATGCTTTAGAAGACTTTCCAAACATAAAATGTTTAATAGAGGCACATTGATGGAGCTTTTAATTGTAGCTCTGAATTGGAAATGTAAATTACATGTAAATGAGTTTATTTTACTAGCGAGATATTTTCATATTCACGTGTCACCCACCTGGGTAATGCATGGCTTGTGTTCTGCACCAGCAGCTTTAATATACAGTACATCAGGTGGGGATGTGAGAAAACTGGTTCAAGAAACTACAAAGGGGTGAACTCAGGTAAGCATTGTGTAGCATTGTGTCATTGTGCAAGCTTAAAGTGAAACTTAGCCAGGACACCAGGGTTAACAGTGCAATAGGTGACATTAACGGTGGTCAGGATCTCAGTTCCACCTATCTTTGCACCACGAAATCAACCTGCTGGCAAACAACAGACACCCAAGTTCATAAACTTTTAACAACAGCTGTAATTAATCATGGATTGGCAGCCATGTGCTATAAAAGCTTAAGATGGTGAACTCTTTGTAAAGCAGCCTGTCTTCCTGTGGTAGTGCGAGTTTGTTCACATAAATAGTGTGCTGCACCTGTTGTACTGGAGGTAAAAAAGGGATGCACATTAAAAACTATAAAAAACTAACAAAAATGGTGTACCACACATCTTGAGGAAATCTTGAGGAAATAAACTAGTAGCATTAGTTCGAAAATGCACAGAAACTGTTATGAAGTCAAAACAAAATGGACAACATTGTCCGGTCTTTAAAGGAACAAGTAAAGGTTTATTCCATGCTAAAAAGAGAAGAAATGAAACACAACGTTTCGTTTGTGGAACCTTCTTCGGGTGTGAAACCAAGTACAGTAAAACCAAGTACAAGTACAAGTAACATAGTAAACGTATGTACGGAAGCTTAATAAGCTTCTGTATATGCTTATATTTGTGTATGAAAGAAAACCAAGTTGATCTTCAGAACCTAGAATCTTTCTCTTTTCTGTTCAGACAAGTTTCTAACATGAATGACTGGAAAGTATGAAAATTACACAGG